GTAGGGATGGTTAGCGAGTGTTTAAAAATTAAAAACTATTTAAAATTCCAAAAGATTAGGGATGTCTAAAACATTTAAATTATTCGTAGATATGGTTATTTTTAACGGACTTTCTCAAAAAATAATCCAATAGTTCAATAGCTATTAGATAAGATTAAGACTCAAAGTTTTTTCATAATCCTAATAGTTTTGCTAATTTCTAATGTTAAATTGAACTCTACGTGAATTTTTTTACCAAAGTCAACAATGTCTAAACTTATTGGTCGATAAAGTTATGAAGTTACAATTTCAACTATAATCTGATAACAGCTGATGAATATAGGTCGAATACGTGACAAAACGTCCAAGTAGCTTTGTATCGTTTAGTATTCAGCATGATGATGTAAATTTATACCCTTAATACTGAGTGAATATAAATGCTCACCGATCGTTTAGATAAAATCGGGAATTAAAAAGTTTATTTTTTATTACAATGAAATTGTTTTCTAATGGTATAGTTGATTGTCAACTTGTCGGTGATAATGTGAAAACTGTAAGAAAAGAAATTACTATTCGCTTTGGAAACAATGGAGGGAAATCAATAACCAATGCGGCATATTTACTACCTAAACTAAATTATTGAATACGTGTAAACATGCCTAAATCATGTACGGTAGCATAAATTATTATCCATACTGCAATATTGTTACGTATAAAAATTTGGATTTTTAACTTCATGTTTTGAACATCGAAAATTAAGCAATAATATTCAAATTTTACGAGGCCGAATTAAAAAGTTCACGTGTATGTGATTCTTTTACTCCAAATTTCAGGAAGCTGGTGGTTTCCAGTGGAACGGGCGCAAGGTTCAATTCTTGACATTTGCCAATGGCTCTAAGCTATGACATAGTTTCATATCGCATCATAAGTTCTGAATCTGTCTACAAAGGGTAAAAAAGCTAAAAAAATTGCTTTCATGTTTATTTTACCAACACATGAAATCGTTTAACACAAAACATTTAAGAATTTAATGTAAAAACTATTTTTATTCATATAAATACAACATATGATCTGTAGGTCAAACCAGTTCAATTAAAGAATATAAACAATCTTGTGTTGCACTTTTTACAGTATTAACAGAGTAAAGTCACAAGTCTTAGCTCAAGGCTTACTGGCTTAGAACAAGCTAATCAAGTTTCTTTAGGGATTCACTTCCTCCAATAAAATTAGGCTCTGAATAAACAACAAGTTAATGGAAACTCCTAATACAATCAAGATGTTTTACTCTTTCTTACGTGAACCGTAACAATCTAGTGTAAAAAAGTAGTTTGTCAATTTGCTGTCTGAAAAAAAATATCTACCACTTTTTATCTCTGAAAAATGTTTTAAGTAATTCCAACTACAGGAAGTCACCACCCACAATTTTAACGTTTAAACCCCTTTTACAAGAAGAAACTGTTATCATATACACATTGCTTCAAAATGCGTCAATATAATAACGAATTCAAAAACAAAACTGAGAGCGGAGTTAAAACTATAAGAAAATCGAAAAAATATTCTATTACCCAACAATCTAGCCTATATATTTTATTTTCAATATTTTTTAAATGGCAGTATAATTACCACGAACTAGTTGTATATTTAAACTTCATTAGAATCCCTTAGGCGTACGAAGGCCCACATCAGTATTGTGTTGAGAAGTATTTTTCAGTGTATAGAATGGCCAAGACGTTGAGAGCTAGGCTAATAGAATCACTTGCCTTTACAGCTGTGGAGACCATCCACAAAAAGTAAAATATACGCATGTTAACTTCGTAACATACGTATTCTTGCATATTTGAACCTTTGAGCTCTTAAAGTAGCTGAATTGATCAGGTTAAATATACAGGGTGTCCAACGAAGATTTATACAGGTTCGATTTTAAATTACTTGGGCATTTAAGCACCGAAAATTTTGAAAGATTTCACAATTTATAAAGTAGGAAATAAAAAATATTCTGGGTTAACTTCAGCACCGTAACCCTTGTAGGAACAAAATGGTGGCATATTGGAAATTCTACTTTAATAACATAAGAAATCGTGTTTTTGGTTTTTTAAACTATTTTTATTGTCACATTCTAGGGAAATAAGGCTTTTAAATCAGGTAACTACAAAACCGTCACTAACAGGACCGGGTGCGTGACGGTGACGGTTAAGCAAATAGACGTATAACAGAAGTCCAGCTATAAACCTGTACAGTTACAGTCACTTGGTCTAAAAGTTGTCGGTAGAAATGAAATCCTTTACAAGTGAATAATACAAGTTTATATTTGAATTACTTACAAACAAGAGTAATATAGAGATGTTATTTTTGCATGTTGTTCACGTATCCCATGGTTGAGCACGTATCCCACAAAACTAGCTCTATTTATCCAACTATCTCCAATGAATGGTTCTATTGGTCTCACGTATTGTTATCATATAGTTTATTATTGTTAAATTGTTAAATATTGAGAAAACCCCCCATATTGATGTAAATTATCCACATCTGTTGTTGATGTTGCTTTCAAAATAGTATTCCATCATTTGTCTGAAATCCGAATATTAAATATTTTTATGTTAGGAATTCAATACGGTTTTTGTTATTATCTGTACTTGTTACGTTGATGTCTTGTTTATTATTTTTTGTTGCAGTCCTGTTTTTTTATGCTTATGTATTTTCTTTTGTTATTTGCAATGCAATTGTTTCCATTTCATTCTGATCTTGTGCTTTAAATATATTTTTGTAAATGGTGTACCTGTTGATATTAATAAATACTAAATGAAAAATATGAGTGGGCTGATAAATACTATCGAAGCCGACAGAAATCAACTTGTTGAGTGAGCTGTCAATAACTTGTCGGATTGCAAAACATGTAGATCCTGACGCCGGCTTCAATGTAAAACAAACGTTGTCATTGTATGTTGTCAGGATGCATCAATGACGTTGATAGAAACTTATCTTCTGTGATGTAAAATACTTATGTTTGTGGCTTGAATATATCAAATATAGTTATATGGCTTTCTGTCAGTACCTTATCCAACTTCATTGAGTTATCTTTAGTTGTCGTCAAAAGTGTTTCCAATCGTCTCCTTTCATGTTAGTTGTAAAGTAAAATAAATATTTTATCAAATATAACGAAAGTCAATAATTTGTTGAACATTATTAAAGTAGCAAACAGTAATTGGTTCACTGGATTGTTTAAAAAATTCTATAAAAATTGGAACTTAAAAACAGAAACACAAAGCACATATTTAACTAATTATCAAACAATAGACCGTTTGTAAAAAAATAATAAAAGCAATAGAATATGGCCTTCAGATGGCAGCTGAAAATAGGTATTCTCATTTAACTGACAATTTGTGATGAAATAAAACATGATTATATAATGAAAAATAAAAATTTGCAAGATTGTCTTGGGACTCTTGGACAATATTTATGAACATTAAAAATCTTACTGGTTCACTACATATTAGATTTAGGGCTTGTCATTATTTTGAACTAGAGGTTTTGTGTATGTAAATAGGTTTATGTTTCACTTTTTTGTTGACTAAATTTATCGTTAATAACTTTAATAAATAAAACTCGATAGTAAAAGGTATCACGTTTTTTTCACAACGGTAATACGAATTAAACTTTACATTTTATAAAGTTCTATCATATTTTTTTGGGTTTCAAGGTAATTTAAAATCAACTCTATTTCAAGACGTGTGCCACTAATGTTGTCAAAACATGCTGTTAAGTTAGTGACAAGCTTTTAAAGTAATTTAAACATAGAAAATAAGTCCTTTGACGAGTTTCCTTTTAGTTTACTTTCATTTATTAACTCAAGATTTATGACAAGCACACCTTCACGTTTAGGAATTTTCAATCACTCTTGAATGATCTTAAAACATAACAGGCCTGTCATTGACGTTCCACGAAACTGTTATAGTATGTTATTTTCTCTAGACAGTTGGTTTTCCAAGAAATTAAAACGTAATCTCTGAATTCTAAGTGAAGTTTCCATATTTTAAATGCATAAAAAGAACTTAATAACTTTACTGGAAAATTTTGAGACTTTAATTTTGCCAGAAATCTATTTAAAGGAACTAGCCTACATTCATAACAATATTGATCTATAAACATGTTGTCGCAATACTGATTGTATCCTCACATTTATTTGGATATTTAATGATTTAGAATTGTTTAAAATGTGCTAAACCTGTTAAATCATGAAATTTTTAATTTTTTTATATTAAAAGTGTATATTGTCTAGTACTTACGTTACATGGTCTAAATTACATTCCTTGCTTACACAGTTGATATAAGGAGTCTCGTTTGGAGTAGCCTACATTTGTACTTCAAGTACACTGATGGATCTAATTAGATATTAGACAAAATGTTATATCATTTTGGAGAACAAAACTGTATATCACTCAAAAAATTAATGGTAAAAAAATATTACTTCTTTTGTTTCTAATTTGTGAAAAATGGATTCACATTTCCCATCAATATTTGAGAGTCTCAAAGATGATCAATTTAAGAAAATCGTTCGGATCAACGATCGTTTAGATTTTTGGAAGAATCTTATTGCTACATTATGTTGGCAATATCTAAGTGATAAAGTTGTTGAACTGGCCCAGTTTCCATTATATTGCCACCCCAATAGCATAATGCTAAATACGATATTGTTCCACACATAGATTTCTACTTAAAACTTCGAAACTTATACACCTAATAATATTAAGACAGTCCAACAGTATGTATTTCTATACAGAGCCATCTTAATACCCTTAACACTACTATGTCTCCCTATGCTGTAGACTGCCCCAATGCCATACCCACGTCGCCATGATGCCCGGTACCTCACTCCACAAGTGTAATAATATTTCTTTCCACACAGAGGTTGATGCTCCTGGCACTACTGTGCCCCTGCTGCTGTTGACTGCCCCTGCTATGCCTCCGTCGCCGTGAGCCCGTTAACACACTCCACAGGTCTAATATTATTTCTTTCCCCACAGAGCCATGTTGATGCCCCCGACACTGCTGTGTCCCCCGCTGCTGTAGATTGCCCCACTGCCATGCCCCCGTTGCCGTGATGCCCGGTGCCCCGCTGCACCGACATGCTTGGCTGTGGAACTCTGCCAAGCTGCGGGTGCCACAACACGACTTCCTCAGACCTCAGGTAAATTTCGTTCACCTTTCATTGAAAATACTAGGTTTATTCGACGCTGACGCATCAGAGTTTATCACGATGCATCAAAATGCATCAGAATTAGTGAAATATCGGTTTTGAATGAATTAGTTACTAGCTTTGTAACTGTCTATCATATTCAGTTTCTGTAGCCATGATCATTTCTTAATAGCGTAATAATCAGATGGCTCCATTCCTATGAACCATCAAAAAGCTTAAATCCTTTTAATGGTCAATTTACACACATCAATCCAGTCATAGTTCAGTCTCAGTTGCATCCTCAATTCCTCAGTTAACTGTCTGTCAATTGGTTTCAGTCAGTCCTCCGTCACTGTATGTTACATTCAAGAATGTTTAATTAAAAGACAATAAACTCTGATTCTAAATCTGAAGATTTTCTAAAAAGCCAGTTTATAAAAGTTTAAGACGAAGAATAGTTATTAATAGATGTTGAGCCTGTGAGAATATTGGTAATTTATGAAGGTCAAGAGACTCTAAAGAAAATTGCAAAACTAGGCTATACATTTCATAGCACCATATAATAATTTTTATTCCGGTTGATATTTTTGCGAAATCTGTGGAATTAATGGAATGTGAAATTTCAAAATAATACAAATGTTATTTTGGTATGTAATTTCTCAGCTACTCGTCTGAGAGTTCGTCGTCGGACGCAGACATGCGGCGAAACCAGGGAAGCTCCTGCCAGGAGGTGGTGAAACACAACGGCGTCGGCGCCTTCCTGGCAGCGCTGTCCCCCAGGAACCTGTTCCGGGGCTTCAAGAAGAACAGCGAGTTCAGCATGCCTAAGGCAGAACGAAGTAAGTTGAAATACATACAATTGCTGTAATATTGAAAGAAAACATTTAGATGTATTTTGTTTTCGGACGGATGAGGTCAAAAGTAGTAACACCTCTTTAAAGTTTCATACAGTAAAATTGATTAGTTATTGCTCCAGAAAAACGTTTGCAAATAAAATATACAAAATACTTGTTTAGTAACATATACTGAAACTGTTTTACTTTTCATAGTGGATTGAAGACCGTTCATACAACAAGAAAATAATTACGACTTGTAAATGTCATAACAGATTTGTAGGGAATTTTTAAGGAGGAAAGTTTATCTTCACTTACTCACAGATATGCTAGTACTTTAAAATTTAGTGTTACTAAATCTAGCATATACACCAATTATCTGAAAAGCTTAAGATTTAAAAAAAAAATCTAAATAATTTATTAACTCATATATTCAACGTAACGTGATTAAAGACAACTTTAAAACACTTAATTAAAAAACTTTAGTTCGTTTTTAATCTCGTTGTTTTTAATTAGAGAAAAAGGCAGGTGACACAAGTTTGTTTAGCTCAATTTGTTTGCCACCCCTTTCTAATTACTAAAACAAATACCCCCATCAAACTGCTAATTACGTTTCGAGACTGACGTTCTTGGAACTGCACTTTCATTGAATTTCACTTGGTTCACTCGTGCCACGAAAAATTCCATTTTCCTGTTTACGTTGTTGTCTTTGATAAGCTTGTTTTGGCCAAAAATACTAGAACACTTCAATACGTAAAGTTAGGCCGGTTTGTTGATATTCAAATTTAGTGATAACTAATGTTCAGAATGAAAATCAATGCATTTAACGAGAAGTTGACACCATCAATCGTCAAAAGGGACAGAACATTAATTTAAATATGAAATACATGTTTGACTCAATGAAAATCGATTTAGAAAGGGAATTGAATGGGACGTGGGCATTGTTGGTCCTATTATTAACCCCATTGAACTCTCTGACAATAGAACATGGAAGTCAATATTGTAAACCTCAGTTGCCACTAGAACAGACACGGGTATGGAGGCTTCACCGGCTTGTGGTAAAACAATATAATTCATCAAGTTAAGCTGTAGATTTAATGTAAACAACGAGGCACTGGTTTGAGCACGTTTGTTAGTTGTGCACCTGTCATTCCATTAGTAAACCAACTGCCATATAATTGTTGCAGCAGTTCGGCATTTTAATATCTGGTTGTCATTGTTAGACTGTGTTTAAAGGTCAAATTGGAATAAACTAATTAAAGATAAGAGGTAGTATGTAGACTGCACCTAATTATACGTTCAACGATGTGAGAAACAGTCTCGACCTAGTTGTATAAAATATTGTTTGTTTTAATATTTCTAATTGCTTATAAAACCACCATTTCATATGAGCACTTCTATGATTTTACAATTAAAATAATAAATTGAATAAGTTTTTCATCCTTAGTTATCATATTTTAAATAAGTTCCTAAAAGAGCCTAGATCATTTAATGCATCATTTATATTTATTTATTTATTTATATCATTTATTTATCATTTATTGAACCGAGGTTCTTTTGCAGGCTAGAATAGAAGAAATAAAATTAAACACTACATAAAATGAGGACTTTGTATCTTTCGTTCTTTTAGTACAACTTGCCTTAAATTAATAAATTGTAGACAGTTTAGTCGTTACCCTCTTCTAGTCAACAATTTTCTCGATGAATAATGTCATTGCAAGATTCCTGGAAACCAAAAATATCTGCTTAATGTTTACAAGTTTAGTGTACTGTGCAAAATCAAAGCACAGATATTCATTTTAACTATGCAGCATTAAAATCACTTTAAAATAATGTATGGTAATTTTTTATGTGGTAACGTACAAATTGCATTAACAAGCATGTATAAAGGAATGTCATTAAGTTATTGATTATTTTACTAATAACGATATTTTCCGGACAGCCATGAAGGCGGCCATCTTGATTCAACAATGGTACCGCAGATACCTCGCCAGAATGGAGGTACGTCGTCGATACACATGGACAATCTTCCAGAGCATAGAGTATCAAGGCGAGCAGGACCAAGTCAAGGTCTGTACTATATGAAAAACGTTAAGCCTTTAGTGTTTAGAGGATAAAATCACTATCTAATTTGCATATTTTCAGCATTTTCAGTTTCACAAATTCTATAACCAGTTAATCATTTAATCTGAGACCATGTGGAAGTAGTGATAAGTAAATTTTAAAGGTGAATTAATTTTTTTGTTAGAGCACAGGCTCTCTTTCTAGGACTTTCTTGCATCAGATAGATTTATCACCAAAGGGTTTTTTACATGCGATAACATTATCATGAGAACCTTCCTGAACATACCGTCATCACTTATACTACAATTATACTATTATAGTACAATTCATATGACAACAGACTGAATAATTAAATAAGTTATTCAACAACAATATTTGTATATATTGTTTATACATTTTCAGGAAAATTTTATCTTCTTCCTAACAATTTAATATAAAATCGACATCTATTATTAAAATCGTATAAAAAGTTCTTACATTTACTGTATTGTAGTAAACCCTTAGCAAAATGGTCCTCGATGCGATAATGTATAATAAGATAAACAAATAGGTACATAAAACTAAATTCATAATCAATCTTTTATAGAATATCTTATAAAAGCACAAACGTAGTAAATATTAGCATTGATCCAATAAAAACTCGTATTAAACGAGTGAAAATGTGAGTACCTATTAATTTATTTTGAATAACGGAACGAAGTTGTTCCCTTTCAGTTTACATTGTTAACTGCCCTGTGAAACTAAGTTTTCAAGTGGTTTTAACAATGTTTTGTCGTAATCAATTAAACTCAGAGCTATTCTGACAGTACGCTATTGTTCAAGTTTTATTGTTGTTCTTGTTTTATTATATTTTATAATTTAGTTATACAAGCTATGTTTTATACTTACATTGCTTTGTTTTGATTTAGTGAAACTATTTAAGGGAATATCCCTACTTTGAAATAGTATTTCACATATAAGTGATGAAGTACCTGGGGACCGAGCTTTGCTCGGGGAAAATCATTAGTACACTCTGAAAGCAGTCTTAGTATTGGAGATACATAAATCCTTTCCCAAACTCCAAACGGTTCGCCTTTACTACGACCTACACCATTTCCTACGTTATGGACCTGTTTCCCTGCATTCCCATAGCACTTTAGGATTGTAGATACCTTAATCTAATCGTTATTAACAGATCCCACACTCCGGACAGCTCGTCTTGACTACTTCCTTCGCCACTTCCAACGTAGCGGACCTGTTTTCCTCCCTTCCCATAGCATTTCAGAATTGCAGACACCTTAATCTAATCGTCATAAACAGATCCCACGCTCCGTACTACTTGCCTTTACTACTTCCTTCACCACTTCCTACGTCGCAAACCTGTTTCCCTCCCTTCCCATTGCATTTAAAGATTGCAGATACCTTAATCTAATCGTTATTAACAGTTCCCACGCTCCGGACTACTCGCCTTGACTACTTCCTTCACAACTTCCTACGTCGCGGACCTGTTTCCCTCCCTTCCCATATCATTTTAGGATTGCAAATACCTTAATCTAATCGTCATAAACAGTTCCCACACTCCGAACAGCTCGCCTTGACTACTTCCTTCACCACTTCCTACGTCGTGGACCTGTTTTCCTCCCTTCCCATAGCATTTTAGGATTGCAAATACCTTAATTTAATCATCATAAACAGTTCCCACGCTCCAGACAGCTCGCCTTAACTACTTCCTTCACCACTTCCTATGTCACTGACCTGTTTCCCTCTCTTCCCATAGCATTTCAGGATTGCCCATACCCTTATCTAATCGTCATAAACAGTTCCCACACTCCGGACAGCTCGCCTTGTCTACTTCCTTCACCACTTCCTACGTCGCAGACCTGTTTCCCTCCCTTCCCATAGCATTTTAGGATTGCCCATACCCTTTTCTAATCGTCATAAACAGTTCCCACACTCCGGACAGCTCGCCTTGACTACTTCCTTCACCACTTCCTACGTCGTGGACCTGTTTTCCTCCCTTCCCATAGCATTTTAGGATTGCAAATACCTTAATCTAATCATCATAAACAGTACCCACGCTCCAGACAGCTCGCCTTAACTACTTCCTTCACCACTTCCTACGTCACTGACCTGTTTCCCTCCCTTCCCATAGCATTTCAGGATTGCCCATACCCTTATCTAATCGTCATAAACAGTTCCCACACTCCGGGCAGCTCGCTTTGACTACTTCCTTCACCACTTCCTACGTTGCGGGCCTGTTTTCCTTCCCATAGCATTTCAGGATTGCTCATACCCTTATTTAATCGTCATTAACAGTTCCCACACTCCGGGCAGCTCGCTTTGACTACTTCCTTCACCACTTCTTACGTCGCGGACCTGTTTTCCTTCCTTCCCATAGCATTTTAGGATTGCAGATACCTTAATCTAATCAACATAAACAGTTCCCACACTCCGGACAGCTCGCTTTGACTACTTCCTTCACCACTTCTTACGTCGCGGACCTGTTTTCCTTCCTTCCCATAGCATTTTAGGATTGCAGATACCTTAATCTAATCAACATAAACAGTTCCCACACTCCGGACTACTCGCCTTGACTACTTCCTTCACCACTTCCTACGTCGCGGACCTGTTTCCCTCCCTTCCCATAGCATTTTAGGATTGCAGATACGCTAATCTTATCGTCATAAACAGTCCCCACACTCCGGACTGCTCGCCTTTACTACTTCCTTCATCACTTCCTACGTCACGGACCTGTTTCCCTCCATTCCCATATTATTTTATGATTTCCTTTACTACTTCCTTCACCACTTCCTACGTCGCGGACCTGTTTCCTTCCCTTCCCATAGCATTTTAGGATTGCAGATACCTTAATCTATTCTTCATAAACAGATTCCAGCCTTCGCACTGCTACCCTTGACTACAATAATGTATCGAGTAATCTTCAGTATAATCTTTGCTAAATATTAACAAGTGATGTTTTTCCTTTCCTCCTGTGGGTAGTTGGCTTATTATGAGCACATGCTACAACTTCAAGTCTTTTGTTTACTTTTTCCTTGTTATTTAATTCAGCCAACATGGTTACCTAGCAACCCATAAGACTAATGTTAAAAAATGTGATTTTTAGTTTCATTTTTCTACGTAATTAGATTTTTGTTGGCAGTTCTAACTGCAGTAAACTCGTTTTTAGGTCAGAAATAAACTATTTACAACATTTGAAGAAAATCGTCGGAGCCGTTTTCGAGATCTTGTTTGCAAGCATACATACAAGCAAACATTGCTCGTATTAGAGTATAGGATAGGATAGTAGATGGGTTTGTGTGCCCAATAAAAATAGGGGCTATTCCTCAAAGACCATAATAATGATGGGTTCAAAAAGTCTGTTTGAAATTTATATTTTGGTTTAACAACTTGAAATTAATGTTGCAAACTATCCGTCAATTTGTCTATAAACTTAACTAACTAATATTGTTTATGATAATAAAAAATATTTACATCATATTTATAATATTGATGCTGATTATTTATTTATTTATAGTATTGTATGATATTATTAACTATAAACAATTTTAACTTAATAATTACATTATCATTTATATTATAATTATTATTATTATTTACATTATTTATTATTTACATTATAATTACATGTCATCACTTACGGAGAAATACTTCATAAGATACACATTACGCTTAAGTTAGGACACCACATGTTTAGGTGCCTTGGACCCTTCGACCTTTATTGTTACTAGGTTCCTAAGGTATGATTTTTGATTTTTCTCAATGATTGCTTTTGCAATGTTTGAGCTTGACCCATCATTTTAAAATGGTTTGTGCTACACCCAACTGAATGTTTGTACTGAAGTAAACCATCTACATAGAGAGATTTAGCAACTTTTTATTTTAAATTGAACATCATTGAATGAGTCCCTCGCATAAGGTTTTAATGTCATTATGTTAGTTTTTCTTTTGGTTTAGGTACTCGATAACTGATATGAAACAAATATGCTTAAGTTTACGTTAACTTAATTTCTTTCTATGACTTGCTCCATATGTCAATGTATCCTTCAACAATCATCAATTATAATTGGCTTACTTTGTCGATGGGTTCCGATACGTCCATTTTCATTTCACAAGCTTAATAAGATAATATTTCTCTTTATACTCAAATCTGATGGATGGTAACTAGATTTATTATTGCTTACCTACACTTATTGACATACAACATAGATTGTAGGGAAAACATGAAAGATGCATTTATCCATTTGACTTTAAATGATTAAAATGTTAAAGTTATAACTCGTATTATTTTAAAACTGCATTTTTCAGCTGTACAATTTCTTCAACGCGCTGCTGACGCACATCCCCACGACGCCGTCGTCACACAAACCTATAACTAGTGATACCACGTCAAAGTCGTCCTCTACAGGTGAGTTCAGTTTATGACGAGAAAATGTTATCATCATTTTCTAAGTATACGTTGTAATTGTTTTTAACTATTGGAAAATATTAAGTTAGATTGTCAACATTGATGTGCTTATATACTGCTGTAAGTGAAGAATACTATGAACACTATTTTGAGGTAGTAGCTTAAAGCTACACAAATACTCGTTGCAGGAGTAAAACATCCAAATTAATAACTTTCCTTATTTGGTTTCAATAAATCTCGAGGTTGGAGCAATAAAATTAATGTTCTTTTATACATTTCAAAAGTAACATGAAAAGCGTAATACTCAATAGTCAGACTTTAAATAAATATAGAAATGTAGCCTATGTTTGCTTGAACCATAATTGCTTTTTATGTAAGTTTGCATGTATAATTTGAACATTTATATGCTGTCAAACACTTGTCTACGACACACCTAGTGAAAATTAAATCCAACGTAAACATTATTATGTTACCTATACAATATACATTTTACATCTTATCTAGGCACTGTTAACAGATAAGGTCAGCCACTATAACACTGAGATGAGAACAATAGTGATGTAATCTATTCAAGGGTGAGATGTAACGTTGGATATGAGAGGGTTGTAGGCGTCGCTCATAAGTAGTAGGCCTGGTGTCACACTCATGAATTTCACTTTATACAAAGTGTATAAAAAGCTGGTTTTGTATCACAAGCTAGATTGTTTAGACTTTCACATAGGTCAAGGTAGTTTGTTTCGAATAAATGTATGTTTTTATAAAAATTTTATGTTTTAGAGAGATTTGGCCCAGTATCAAGAGAACGAATAAAACGTTTATAGGATTGAAACAGCCACTTTTAGTTTACTAACGTCATGAAAATTAATATTGGTCATACTTATTACCTTAATCTCAACAACATACAAGTACAGATTCTTTGCCAAGTCGTGATCCAACTATAGCTTTAATAACAGCAGAGAAAAATGAACAAACTTTTGGCGTTTGTCGATTGCTGACCAGATTCAGAAATTAAAATAACCGTACTATTTCTTCCAGGAAAAATCGATTGGGTTACACAATGAAAATGCCTTCTTTAATTTTTGCATTTGTAAAATATACCTAAATGTTTGTTTAAATTATTTTCGGAAATGATTGATTTCCAAAAACCGTTTTTTTACATTCCAATCAAGAATTGAAACTAAGGGGAATAGAATACGAAAAACATTGTGGTTTTCAACATTGGCGACACAAATATCTAAATATTAATATCCTCCATTACACACAAAGTATTTGATTTCATTATGTTTATAAAACCTTCACACATCCGACCTTTTAGGTCAGTGTACTTATTCTTTATTCAGGATAAATAAATAATGGGTAACACTGCCCCAGCCTTTGAATATAGAGACACGACAAAGAACTTCAAGAGTAGGGGAATGTTAAAGGGATTGGTATCTAAGTATCTCTGAAAGATGGGGGCTGTCTTAGTGGGGGGGGGGGGGGGTGCAAAGGGAGGTTTTGACGTCGCTATATTTTACAAAGGCTTAGCATCTGTCGTGGGCTAAAATGTTGATCATTAACACCCGTTTCTTCGTCTAAATGGCAGAAAAATGGCTTTAAAGGTTAAACTCTGCATCTTCTTTGCAGTTATCCTAAAGTTTATAATCTAATGTTTACAAAAGTATGAAAATTAGCGGTTTTATTATAAGTGTTCAGTACGTTTAACCTAGTTTGTAAGATTAAATGAGATAGAGATCTGTCCAATCAATGTTTAATTTATCATATGCCAGGTAGACAATGTGCTTAATCAATCTGCAATTAGCTATTTCGTTGCGATAATTAAACATTGTGTTTTTGATTTAAATTAATTATTAATTGATTGTATTTAAATTTATGGATTTATGGAGCAAAATTAACGAATAAAATGCAAATCTAAATACTTTTTTACGTTTATCTGCATATCTTTTTCTTGATCCATGCAATAAACGTAACTTCTAACATTCAACTGTGAAAAAATGTAACAGAAAAATTCATTTATCTGCAAACTAAGTTTTACATAATTTACCACGAAAACGGTGACGAACAATTTTATTGTTTGTCAAGAACAAAACTTAAAACGAAACATGAAAGAGAACTTCGTGTTTGAGTCGGTGGAGTCATTAATTCTACCTCTCCCCAACACTAGTACCAGCAGACTTTGTTAATTTACATCATTTTTACCTTATGCTTTTAAGGTTACGCAATTCTTAAAGCAAAGTATAATGTTTTGTAAAATTGAATGCTTTGTTTGTACATGAATAGTTTTACAAGAGAGGGTAAAAGTGTTACCGTCTTAGAAATATTTTTAAATTTAATTGTATTGTGCCTCAATATATATGATACTGAAATATTAGGTTAATGAGGTAAGTACTAAAGTTTTTTTTTATACTTCAAACCTAAGCATTGCACGATATTTATCATTTAAGGAATGTAAAACTCTACATTAAATTACGTTTAATGTATATTTGAAAATGAATAAATTTTACTGTAAATAAACTCAATATGCGTGCAATTTGCCATCTTGTATCTTCATTATATTAAAGCCGCAAGGCCTTTACTCAGCTACCAAACCAATAACACATAAGGCTGGATTGCTTAGTAAAGTAAACTTAAACAGACTATAATGCCAACTGTTCACAGACACAACAGTAGAGACCAAGTTTGAGGACGAATCTCCTAGTGACGGTGGCAGTTCTCCTAACCAGTTCATGGAGTCTACACACATAGCTGAATTGCATAGCAAAGTAAACATAAACAGCTATAATGCCAACTGTTCACAGACACAACAGTAGAGACCAAGTTTGAGGACGACTCTCCTAGTGACGGTGGCAGTTCTCCTAACCAGTTCATGGAGTCTACACACATAGCTGAATTGCATAGCAAAGTACACATAAACAGCTATAATGCCAACTGTTCACAGACACAACAGTAGAGACCAAGTTTGAGGACGAATCTCCTAGTGACGGTGGCAGTTCTCCTAACCAGTTCATGGAGTCTAACTACACTCATAGCTGGATTGCATAGCAAAGTAAACATAAACAGCTATAATGCCAACTGTTCACAGACACAACAGTAGAGACCAAGTTTGAGGACGAATCTCCTAGTGACGGTGGCAGTTCTCCTAACCAGTTCATGGAGTCTACACACATAGCTGAATTGCATAGCAAAGTAAACATAAACAGCTATAATGCCAACTGTTCACAGACACAACAGTAGAGACCAAGTTTGAGGACGAATCTCCTAGTGACGGTGGCAGTTCTCCTAACCAGTTCATGGAGTCTACACACATAGCTGAATTGCATAGCAAAGTAAACATAAACAGCTATAATGCCAACTGTTCACAGACACAACAGTAGAGACCAAGTTTGAGGACGAATCTCCAAGTGACGGTGGCAGTTCTCCTAACCAGTTCGTCGAGTCCAACTACAAAGGGATCCATCTAGGAAACCCTCTGAGTCGACAGGACCTTGACAACCTTATAGAGTCCTTCCGCAAGAAAAAGGTAATTTCATTTATTTTGAGTACATTACACTTTCAGGTTTTGTTTTTTTTGTAAATGTACTTAGTCAGCTCTTTAGTACTGTTTAAAAATTCAGTGTATTTACTGAGTGCAGAGTACACCGTTTCATATCCGTAAATTTCTCTGATTTTGTACACTTTTAACTATGTAACCTATTTAGCAGAGATAACTCATATTATGTTTGATCTAATCATGTTAAAATAGTAACAATGAATAGGCAACCCCAAAAACTATACTATATCTACTATATCTAACTATACTATACTATATATACTATATCAACCCATATCTATACTACACTTCTATACTTCAGTAGTAACAACGTTTGATTGAAGTGTGGTATCAAAACAGCGGATTGTATCTAAATTTTAAATCCATATCTCCTAACGTCAATGAAACGTTTACGTCCAAGTTTATTACATTGTAAAACATCAGATTTGCTAACCCTTGTCAATTCTATCAGTGAAGCTTCAGTGAAGCGGAAAACAGTTTGTATGTGAAACAAATGTATTATTTTCACTATAATACTTTTTGATAGGTGATTTTCTAGGTCCAGCTTGGTTAAATTATTGGTAATCAATCCACATACTGTATTACGAATTACAATCAGTCAAGCTTGGCTTACTAACTTCAAATAATACTAGATTATTTATCTGATTGTTTATAAATGTTGGTGGTGTGCGTCAACGAAAAAGACTTTTTCCTCTGATGTGTAAGATAAAATATCCTTTTGTTTACTTCTTTGGCAGTACAGTTTCATCTTCTATAATGCTTATAAAAATATTGGATTTTTATTTACAAAAGTCACACACACACATTGTATCCACAACTTACCTAATCCATTCCTCACTCATAATCAATTCAGATATTATAGATGCCAAGCTGAACCCCTTGTTTCTTACCTGTTATAACATAACCTGTCATTTTTAACATGTTCAAATCATTCATAACCCCCAGGACCCCCTGTGGAAACGGTGCTGCTGTATGTGTTCTCCTCAAATACATCCGGAGTTTGTAAGTTAGATATTTTCCAAACGAGTGACTTGTTCCCCACGTTATGTCACGTTGTGTCATATTGCTGCTTGGGTGAGAAAGAATCTTTCCAGCTGCGTTCATAACATTTCGTACTTCTTCATACCTTGCACTTTCATATTATATTACACTTTTATTACATAACAATATTCACTTTAAAAAGTTTTTCACGACAACCTCAATAATAATATTTTGTTTGTAATTATTTCAGTCTCTCTAGAATTCACGTTACTTGACTTTTCCTCATTTTTATTGTACTTTTTCATGTTAGAGTTACTATTCTTAACATATTTGGATGTGTTTTTATATTTAATTGCATTTATTCTTAGTATGTGAGAAAGGTAAGTAAGGTTCTTGAAGCGTACAACAGTATTAGGAAACAAGTTATTAGTTAATATATTACTTAACCATTTTCATAAGAACAGTTTAGATACATAAAAATCAAGAATCGTTTCAAATAATTTACAAAAAAAGTTTGATTTTTCATTCGTCTATTACAAACATTTGGTTTAAAAACGTCTAAACCAATAAGGTGGGCGCTGTATCATTTTGTCATACATCCCTTAAAAATAAACAATAGTTACACCAAATTTTGTATTTAATACAACTCAAACCAAATCTTAAAGAAGCATTCGTCTAAATATATTTTATGTTCCTTTATATGTACGTTTTGTCAAAATTAAACATAATTAAGTCTCAGCCTCGACGTAGCTCAAATGACCTCACACAAAATAATTTTGGCATGTATGCCTTAAGGGCAATTTATGAAATAATGGATAGTTTTGCGCAAGGTTTCTCGTCATGACGAACATTTGAAGAATGTGATTTATGGGGGTGTGACTTAAAGTTTTTAAACGTTAATGGGTACTTTGGGATTTGGATTGTATGCCAACCAACAGACGGCCAAAAGACCATTGTAAATGCTAGGCCAACTTGAAATTTCGTAACTGTATAGTTAGGTTCTTTATTTTATATAGTATGCTGGAAATCGTTTATTTTGTTAAACAAAGCACAATTCATTAATTTAATTTCAAATAATAGCATTTGTACAAAATAAGAAAGTGTGGCCACAACGTCATATTCTTCGCTAATGTTATTTACAATTCTTATAACTTACAACTTCTAAATGTTATTGCGCACTTCCACTACGGATTAAGTTCTAATGTTTCAGACTCACAGACTGCACGCCAAATACGTAGCGACAATACTGAAACAAGCAACAGCAGCTCTCAAGAAACTGCCCAACCTGAATGTAGCCTCTACCGCCATCTCCAAACAAATAACTGTGTGTGGAGACCTGCACGGCAAGTTGGAGGACCTGCTTATAATCTTCCATAAGGTAAATTATAAATAATATTTTTCCAAGTGATTATCAACTAACAAATACACTCATAATAATATCTTAAGCGGAAATAACAAAACTGTAAAAAAATGAATAGGTCTAACAATAGCAATTATTTTCTATAATTATTATCTGACCAGATAAAGAGGAAAACAAAACAATCACTGGAAAATCTTGGTATTTGCTGATAAAAAAGGTTTATAGTTGAGATATAAATTTAATATCAAAAGGATGTGAAAAGTTGTACAAGTTAGGAAACACGAATACTTGCTATTTGGCAAGGGTGGATATATTTCAATATCTTAACCATTGCGATAAGTCTGATAAGAAGAGAGCTCTGCCGATTTTTAATCTGTAAAGGGTGTACTTCCCTTTGTAAAACATGAATTCTTGTAATGTACTGTGATAAAGATCCGGCTTCGATTCAAAGCTTCGATCTCTTTGCTATTTAGTGTTAAAGCAAGATGATTTTAGCCGATGTATTGTGAACCTTATTTGCAGAACCATAAAGTTTGATTAAAACTTGACTGATAAATGAAAATTCTCTTTATTTTTTTACAAAAAATGACGATGTTTCATAAAACTGGTCATGATTTGTCATTTGTTAATTATGTTGCTTTACATTCTTTGACCTTAATTAATCTCTCTATTGCGGTATCAGCTTGCGTCACTTCACAAATCTGTGGCCAAACAATTGTATGTAATATATTTTCTGGTTTGTTTTTTCATGGCATGTAAAATGTCATGGACATTTTTTCAGTTTCCCATTTTCACTTTAATATGAGTAAATACTCAAGCCTGAGTACTATAAGACAAGAAATTCTTTTACAACAAAAACACTCTTACGTCTTACACTTAGGAATGATGGAACGCCAAGATTCAAAGCGAGGTCGAGTATGAAGATGAAGTATCAGTTTTTGTATGCTTCACTTGATGATCAATCTTCTTTGAACAATCATTTATTTGGAATGTCAACCTATATCTTGCGTTACAGTAAATGTGCATTATGAGTAGGCCTACATTTCAATATGCCTCACTGGCTTGTCTTAATGTTACATATGCAATGCTTAAAATAATACACGCAAAAATATTAAAAGAATCCTCAACTAATTGGCAACTAATTTATTAGGTACCAAATTTATTATTGAAAGTATCCACAGTAGATTGGTTTTCCTTTTACTTTATCAACAATCAGGTTTTTGTGACCATCAGTCTTAACTCCACGAGTGTGTAGAAAGAAATTGTGATGAACGCGATACTTTTGTTGCCAGCTAATGCTGCCAATTACTTTCTGTTACTGTCTTGCGAAAATCCCTTTTCAACATTACTGCACCTTGTTCACAAATATTAAAGAAACCTTTCTTTAAATTATGTGTGGGAATTAATTTACCAAATGGCTAGTCGTAACGTGTATTCATAGTTTTTTCAACTTTGTTAAATATTCTACAAATGAATACAAGCTGCTACATTACAAATGAAAAGGTTAAATTGCCTGTTGTCACCATGTCGTCCAAGTTTAGTCATTAACGGATTATATGCATTTCGTTGTGTAAGAACTTATCTTTCCTCGAACTTATCTTATCTTGAACTTTTGATACACCTCTGAAGGCAAGATAAGTTCTTATGTGATGATCTGGTGATGGCTTGGTAGCTAAAATGCATATCAAAGCGGAACTTGTACCGCAAGGTATTTTAACCTATTTATTTGTCAAATAATTGGTCAGGAAACACCACAAAAACAAGATAAAGTTGCTGCATTAATTATATTTCACAAACTACATTATCAATTTAGAGCACATTTGAGTTGTTTATTTCGCTACATCTCTAGAATTCCAATCACATATTAGATTCCACATAATTTTGAACAAAAGGTTAAAGACAATCTTAGGAAATTTTAAACCACTATACTACATTTGAACCTAAATTGGATTAATACTATTGTGTATCATAGCCAAGAACACAAACTTCGAAGAACTTATAGAACCCAGTAAAACATTTGACCTTTGAAATTGCCCAAGTAAGATAATGTAACTTAAAGTAGCTGAGGGATTTAGAGACAAAATTGGAAGTAAATCCTAGTAGTGCAATGGAGAGCCGCAACGATATTCATCTAGAAACACCCCAGGGCACCCCTGAATATGGTTCAATCCTCTGGGGAAAGTAGCAAATAAAACCGACCCTGTATGAACATTTAGCGTCAGTGCACTTTTCTAATTGCTAACCATTATTTAACCTTTAACTCAGAGTAATCGATTTCTTGATATCTGTATGGCATATTTTATTACAGATTGTTATAATACCTAATTAAGTCTAAATTATAATTAATTCTTAAACTAGAATTTAAACCATAATTTTACAAAGCTCTTCGTGTTATGAACCTTTAATCATTTTATCAATACAGATCCTCTAAGATGTTAGAGATAACAAACGGAAAAAATATTCAATTGCTCAAAAATAAGCTGAACTACATTTCCAATCGTTTTTCAACTAAAAAGTTTACACAAAAGAAAAATTTACCCCATCACTACAACCTACGCAAATTTAACCTTTAACTTCCTATAGGGTACCTGGAATTCTTGATTATGTACAACCAGATTGGGTGGCAGCCTTGATAATTATGTTATTGATAAAATGACCCTGGCTCATTCATTCAATACCTACGAGAGCACGCCCCGTGGTCGAAAAATCGACCAAAAGTATGTTTTGTACAACCTTCTCTATTTTCACCCCACACTGTAAATAAAACATGTGATTGGAATGTCTTCCATTTGTTTTGATTTTCTGTTTATATTGTGTTGTTATTTCGTCATCACCATAGCAACCCATAATACCCATGTTAATTTTTTTAAATTTCAAATTCATTTTTTGTGCTTATTTTTGAGCCTATTTTAATTTATAAAGGGATTCTGCACACCTACAGGAAAATAGCTTTCTAACGGTATGCGTAGATTTTTCCTACGATACACGCGAGCTGAGAAAAAAGGTTTTAAAGAAACATGCTTGCCTATTAATATATAGATAGATTCTTCTCCCGAATGCCCTTTTTAATACACTCCTGAGTGTGTCGGCGTTGGATGAAACTGATCTAGTTTAGACAAATACTGAAACCCTATGTCAAAAGACAAGGGCTATCCCTGCTTGTTTCACATACACCCGGCATACCATTAACCAGATTTCTAGCCGGCACCTGCACGGGTCTATTACTAACTCCTCTTATAGCCAGATGAGGTGTAGTAACTGAAATAAGGAACGCGGTGATGGTATCATATTTGTCCTAACCTGCAATGGGAATTCAAAGAAACCTCGATTTAAGGACAATCCTCTTTAATATGTTCATCCTGGTTATTTTTACTTTAAAATTGGTATGTTATGGTTCTTATAGTTCTAAACAAAATAGTACAACCCTCCATTCCTGAAAAATTACGGTTCAAAAGTTGTTGCAACTTTTGTGATTTCCCCTGGTACCGTTTATTCCACTCTAAAATCTTTTAACTAACAAAATAAATCTTTGCCACAGAACGGACTGCCATCAGCGGAGAACCCGTATGTGTTCAACGGTGACTTCGTCGACCGTGGCAAGAAGGGGCTAGAGGTTCTTCTGCTGTTGTTGGCTGTCCTGCTGGTGTTTCCTGATGGAGTGTTTCTCAACAGAGGAAACCACGAGGATCACGTCATGAACACCAGGTGTGTAAACATGTTAAGAACCACAATAGGCTAGCAAATACTACAATTCCTTGTGCGCTTTACTATGGCTTTTAAAATTAAATGAGCTTAGAATCCATAGTTGTCTGTATTACCGTCTTCATTTGAAGATTGTTCCCAGACGCTTCGGTCTTACTTTTTACTGGTATCTTCAAAGGTTAGACTGAAATTAGGTTATCTTTTCACTATGTTCTCGAAGTATTCTTAAATAAATCTTGGTTAGGTGTATTTTTCATTTTAATTTTCCAACTTTATAACTAAATCAATACTTGACACATCGAAGATACTATTATTTTCGACGCTTTAGATTACTTAGACCTACGTTTTCCACCAAAATGTAAACGGTTAGACATCAAATTTTGTTACCGAATGAAATAACACCAATTGTAATTGTATTAAGATTTGAGACCATAAAGTCTTCACCTGGATCAAGCTGGCCTTGAATATTACAGTTTAAATTTATGTATATAGACAAAGAAACAGCCAATATTACTCGGCAACAAAGCATTACCTAATTAATTGCATTTTCATATAAAACACTGAATTATGTGTCAGTGTCCTTTAAATGTAATCTACTCTAGTCAATCAAAATCTAAAACGGAAATATTTTATTTGCAATAAATAAATCCTTTATTCCTCCCCCTTTGAGTATAATACTAAAAGCATGCATTACAAACAAATTGTATTGTTGTTGTGATGTAAACACATTTTACTCATTTTCTCTCACAAATGATACCAAACATATTTCGCATGTGAAATAACATCGATGATTAATATTATTACATCAGCAGAATTTTAAAATAAACAGTTTTATTTTCAAAATCTTAAAAGTAGTATGTTACAATACATCTACAAGCTGGACAGTAATGTTTAACTTTCTTTGGAAATTACCATAAAATGCATAACAAAAAAAGTGTTATTCGATAAAAATATGTTAGATAATTTTGTAAATGCAGAATAAACCTTCGAGATATACATTAAATTATAAATGAACAAAATGCTGATAATGAATTACATTGTTCTTTTCCTATTGTAAAAAGTGTGCCCTGGAAAGTTTCCCTTGTGATTCGAATTTATTATTACTTTTAGCGACACTAAGGGTTCTTGGTTTCTTGAAACGTTAACTTTATATTCAAACTTTTGTATTTATTTCAGATACGGATTTATCAGGGAAGTTAAGCTGAAGTACAAGGTAAGTTAGTTGTTCGGTATATATCAAGTGTAAGTATAAAAGTATTTGAGAGAAAAAGTAAATTGGGTTAGTGATTATCATTTCAGTTGATAACTGGGTTACGTTAAGCCTAGTGATAGTGATAATTATATCATAGTGTGTAATATGTAATATTATCATATTATCACTTATACTCATTATTTATTATCACGATGAAATATTATCATAGTGTGATAGTTCAATATATTTTCCACCCTTTATTTTTAGATTCAAAATAAGAAAAAAACTTATGTACATAAAAAATGTTTATTTGTGAATTTACAGACTACTATTTAAAATGACAACTAAGTGTTCAGTGGAGTTAAAATACTAATAATACCATTTTGATCTAAACTCTGTTCATCATGGTGAAATGTTGGTTGTTTTCAGCACAACGCTGAGCGGCTGCTGAAGCTGATCGAAGGGGTGTACAGGTGGCTCCCCCTAGGCACAGTGGTCAACAACAAGGTACTCATCGTTCACGGAGGCATCTCCGATATCACGGACTTGGACTGGGTTAGGAGTCTTGACAGACAGAAGGTGAGATCTCTCTCTAAACCAAGTGTAGATCTGTGTTCTCCAGAAGAAATATCCCAAATTTTCTCTCCATTTACACCCTAAAAGTTAATTTTTTACTCCCATCTCGTGGTGGTAGTCCACCCTTGGGTGTGAATTGCGTGAAGGATAATGAGGTTTAGAGGGTCATAGAGGTTATTCATAGCTTTTTATAGTTTTTTATAGTCTTTTGCCTTATGGTCCGCAGTGAATATATTCTTTTCGGTAGTTGAACTTGTTATATTTTAACATGTTCTATCACCCTTAAACGCCCAAACTTATTTTAATTATGACAACAGACTTCCTGTACAACATTGATCGTACAAAATTTTACAAAACGAGTTTAAATGTGTATGAAAATGGGAAAAAGGAGCATCCCAACGCTACAGTGTCTTGGTGGTAAAGTGCCCAGTTAGGATGATAATAACCAAGAATATTGTTCAAGAAAACGGTTTGCTAAATAATTACCAACTTAAACCAGGGGTAAAAATAAACCAAGAGACCAAGGGTTAAAAATAATTCCAGGGGTAGAGAGGGACCACAAGCTTTGGTAGACACTTCTTCTATACTTACAACTCAACTCTTTCTTTGCGTGCGTTCTCCAAATCTCAAGCTGAACCATCCCACGAGAAATTTGTTTGGGTACTTTTTAAACACTTTGGTATTAACTTATCTTTCACACTAATAAGTGCCTAATATAATATGTTTACAAATGTTTGTGATTATTGAATGTTTATTTTCTCCAGTATGTGTCACTGCTGAGGCCACCAGTTGTCCCAGAGACCAACAACGCCGTCGCTACAGAGGCCATTGATAAGATGGAGTGGAAACAGGTGTGTCAATAAAAATAAAAATAGTAAATTTATTTGTACAATCTTTTATACATCTAATTCTATGAATCACCGATTTAAAATTCGTAATGTTACTTGTGTCAACGCCTTAAAATATTATATGAAATTGTACTTCACCAATTGAAGTGTCTGTTGTGAGTTAAGTTTAAGAGTTGGTGTCTATCTTGCGTTATATGTAAAAGTTTGGTTTATCTTAAATTATGATAATTACTTCTGATAGAATCTGTGTTTAAAAAAACCAGGCCGATGGAAAACAAGATACCTCTAGCCCACGTAAGGCTTTGTTTTCATGATTTTGACTGCCCATTTAGGAAGTATTATCTTTAAATTAAAGATTTGTACGCCATGTACAGCTAGAAAGCTTTGATTTCATTTTTGTACCACTGACCACAGGTGTTCGACATCCTCTGGAGCGACCCACAAGGCACGGAAGGCTGCATACCTAACTCCTTACGAGGGGCAGGCACCTACTTCGGCCCTGACGTCACTGAGCAGTTCCTAGCCAAACACAACCTTATGTTCATCATCAGATCGCACGAGTGTAAGATCGATGGATACGAACTCACTCATAACGATAAGGTGGGTCTGAGATGTCGAACTCATGTAAAGTGCAATACAAAGTTTAAAATGTGTATATTAAATAAAATGTTTTACGACAATAAATTATTAAAAGCCTTCTATAAATTCGAAAAATTTGTAAAAATAAATTTGGTAAGGTCTGGTTAAGTTTACAATACAAACTAATACAAAAACTATTAAAATCTGCCTCACACTAAAAAAAACAAATATATTATATTTGTTTTTATTAGTGTGAGGCAGTTTTTAAAGAATATAAAACAATTCAGAATATCGTTCTTTATGTCCCTCCTTCATATCCAAGGACGTTGGTTCTAGCTCGGGACCCTTTAATTCACGTTAGATCCAGCGGGTTGTGGAATTATCTTTCCAATAAAATCTATTGTTGATTGACGGGAACCAGGATTTAAAAGACCTACTGTTACCAATATACCAGCTCGCTCCCCAACTAGATGTACTGCACTGGGTTAGGTATACAGTTGACACTACAACGATCCAAAAATTTTGGACCGTCTCCATTCTCATATTAGGATAGTGGTCCTCACTACCCAAAAATAAGAAAGTAAACAAATACTATGATTACATTTTACGTCATTTTTACCCACGTATGTACTCTCTCAGTTACCTTTTGAGAGTTACCTATAAACACACTTTTTCGCGTCCAAATCTTACTAAACCTGGTTAACACTAACGATTCATTAGGTGTGAAAAAATCTACTTAGACAAGTTTCATAACCAAGTATGCTGGGTAAGCGAATCTTTTCTTGTTTAGGACATTTCATCTAAAGATTTGCTGCTTACAATATCACTACCATTTCACTTAACGATTCTTGTAATAGAATGTATATTAAGATATTGAAACTCAAATTCAACACTTTTTACATAGGTGGTGACGATATTCTCTGCGTCCAACTACTACGAGACAGGGTCCAACAAAGGTGCCTACATGAAGCTGGTAGGTCCCCAGCTGGTGCCGCACTTTGTACAGTTCAACACAGCCAGATCCGTGGCCAAGGCACTCACGTTCAGACAGAAGGTGGGGCTGGTGGAATCGTCTGCCATACGAGAGTTGAGTACCAAGGTCCAAGCTCACCGGGAGAAACTTATAGTAGCCTTCAGGAGATCAGACAACCACGACACCGGTAGGTCCAGAGTAGATGTATAGTCTTAGAGGGATGGTCGTGTCAAACATGTAAAGTTTAAATACGGTAGTAAATGATACTAGTTAAATAAAAAATATACTAAAAGGTTGGTGGCCTCTTTTAACTTGCATTTGCCCGTCCACATAGGCTATGGGCCTGATGGAACGTATGTGGCAAAGCAAATGGTGAGCCGGTACAGTAAAATGGTAAACTGTACTGATTAAAAGTAGTGGCAGTGAACAGGGTCCGAACCCACGACATCCGATTATATTCTGTTCTATCCCTGAAGTTCGTGACGCTACCGACTGAGCCAACGACTCAGCCATATCTAGTCTATAAATGACTTGATGGAATGGCCTCTAGATCGTCTGAATAAACTTATATTGTTTAAATTACCTGTTTTCTGTCAAAACGTCATCATTCTACCAATCCGAACGTTTTGACAGAAAACAGGTATTTAAAACCTACATTAGTATAATTTACTGTTCTGGGTGACTCTAATCTAGAATTGCCTTTTATTCGCATTCAAATCAGAATACTTATTTTCAATAGCAGGATATTTTCATCAGAATACTTTAACTGTCAATCATGTTTTTAGAAAATTTGTTGTCCCTTAGGTATTTGTTAAAATTGTATTTCCTGTTGCTGCAATTTAATTAGTTTTGCAAATATGGGCGTGTTTAGAAATATAAATCTCTCAAACTTCTGAGCTGGTTTAGAAATAGTAAAGTGGTAATGAAAACAAACATACAAATCTCCTTAAGTAATCGCAGCTTGCTTCAATGTTATCTTCTGCTTGCTCATCTTCTTTACCTTCCAGGACTGGTGACGGTGTCGGAGTGGTGCTCCGCCATGGAGGAGACCACTGGTCTCAGCCTTCCCTGGAGGATGCTCAAGGAGAAGCTGGTCTTGATGGACCCCGCTGGCTCGGGGAAAGTCCGCTACATGACCACCTTCCAGGACATCGAGCCTGCCAGGCGAGGGGTGAGTCAGGGGTTGGCAGAAGGGAGTTTCATGGCGATCAATTGTCGAAAGATTTGATGATTGAACAAATCGTTTCCAATCCCTTTAAAACGTTCTATATCTGTAGTTGGAAATACAGTAGAAAACTAAATTCAATAACAACCTTTCTTAAGTTTCTTTCCATACCTAAAGCCAAAACTATTTTAATACAAATTTGTACAACCATATTGTTGTTCGTGTTTTTTTTTATACATTTATTATATATATATATATAACTGCATAATGTTTCTTTCACCATTGTAAACCATAATTAATGTTAATTTTTCTTTGTTCAAACCGTTTCAAAAATAACTAAAAGTTTAAATATGATTTCTTAATCATTCTATATGATTTAGTATTTCCTCGTTGGGACGAGGACAGCTGAGTGTATCTGTGTGTGTGAGCGTGTGAACTTGTATGTGTGTATGGGAAGTATATAGGTTAACTTTTGGGGGAGGGTGATTGGGCGTTGGGTGGGAGGGGGAAGGTCTATTAATTGTCTAATATAGCATCACATTCACTTACCATTAAGTCCTCCAGCGTATCTATTTTTCTAAAATCTTTTTTTCTTCCAAAATCATTTTTTCCCTTCATCTCTTAGTTACAAAAATATACATGTATAAAATACGACTCTCTTCCACACAGAGAGGTATTCCTTCTTTGTGGAAGATATTTCGCTAATTTAAAAAGCTTTTTTATATTTTTGTGTTTATATTAAATTTTTATTTTATTAAAAAACCAAACAATATTGTAAATATTTTTGTATCAGACTAATATGATGTAAAATGTACATATTTTTGCGGAATAAATGCTATTTTGATTTGATTTGATTTTAAAATAATTTAAATGTTTCAGCACGGGGCCACCGTAGTTGAGACGCTCTACAGGAATAAGTCGAGTTTGGAAGCCATATTTAGGATAATAGACAAGGATAATTCAGGTAAACCATACAGAGAAGATTAGTCCTTTATTACATTCCTAAAACAACTTTTTCTCCGTACACACAATTGCATATTTATATTTAAAGTACTAAGAATTACCTTGGCACTTTATATAAAATCTTTACTTTATGCACGAGTAGTTTGACAATCCATAGTTCCACGTCAATGCAAAATATAAAATAGTTTTTATGAACTACGATAGCAAAGTAGCAATCTTGTAAATGAACGCGAACCTATTGCAATATCCAATTTAGCATGAATTGTAATATTACCACGCCTTTGAGGGATTTCCTTTAAAGGCAAGAATCTTAATTCAATGTCCTGATTGCTCAAGTCTATTGAAGTTATACGTTGATTTTCTTTAATAAAAAGTGTTGAATCAATTGAACGAGTAATTTTATTGATAATTACGAGTATAGTGCTATATTCATCTGGGTTTCTACAATAAAATGTAATATAATGTACGTATATTTTTACTTCAAATTAACATTTTTTTTTTCACAAATACACATTGGTTACACAGGAGCCAGTTTTTCGTAGGGAATAAAAGCACATTGGTGTAATCCTGGTGTAACATACTGTGTATCCATGTACTTGCGTAGGGTCTTAGGGGGCAAAAAAATGGGGGAAGGTTAAACATTGTTACTTAACAAATTAACAGTACATAATTCAGGAGTTACTACATTCTAGATTCACATAAACATAGAATTTCCCCACTAGAATTTTGGAATGTATTTTACGAGGTTCAGTGGTGCAAGACATTTTTACTTCTTCAAAAAATTCAGGTCGAATTTATTGGAAAAGATCAAGAATAACCTACAACTCTACTCCATTGACCACTTGAGCCTCGCAATACGCCACCAATCTGCTAAAACATCCTTACCTAGCCACACTACACGAACACTGACCAAACTATTAACCCATAACCACATCTGCAACAAGCCGCTAAATGACAATCTCACACCTCAACAACAACAATTCACAACCACAACCAACAACTACACACGACCAACAACAACAACAACAACAACAACAACACACAATGACACGACCTCGAATGTTGGGTTACCTACCTGGTTCGCAACGCTCACAACTCCTATTAAATATCCTATAATACTAAAGAAGAGTCTTAGTACAGCCCCAGCGAACTAATTGTCTCCTGGATCATCATGACCACGTCACTTTATGAGGTAAAGAACGGGTAAAATATATATTAATTATTACAAAAAACTTATCACTGGACGAAAGTAAAGAAAAAATGAATTGATAACGTGTTCCTTTATGAAATTAACATTGTATGCTTGAACTAAAATTCAAGTTCAAATGCAAATATAGATCAACTACTCACTAAAATTCATTTAGTATTATTTTAGACAAAAAACAGATAAACCTCTTTTCTGCACTTATTTACCTCCACTGTTTTCTCTTTCAGGTTACATATCTTTGGAGGAATTCAAGGACGCGTGTGAGTTGCTGGGAGAGCACCTTCAGCATCCCCAGGACGAGGCCCTGGACATCTGCAAGAGTATGGACATCAACAAGGATGGTCTGGTGGACCTCAACGAGTTCCTGGAGACCTTCAGGCTTGTAGACATGGAGGTCGGGAGAGGAGACTCCGTGGATGTTGACTCTGACGACGAAGGTGACCGGGACTGAACGGAAGAAACTGCAGATGGGGATTGATGATACCATCATGTCATAGAGTAACATGAAAATGATTATGGGAAGATTTACTGACTTATCACATATTTGAGTCGTTTTCATGGATTTCGTGTAATATGATAAGTATGTTTACAAGTACCTTAGTATATCACGTAATCCTGCGTCGATTCAAGTTTCAAGATTCAGGATTTCATCAAGCCTTTAGGTCATTGGCAATTGGCCAAGTCACTAACAAAACAGAGAATCATGTCCTCCTGACTCACTAAGTTAATCCTGATCGTGTAGCTCACTTTGTACAGATGAGGTGATTACAAGAGCATCTATTAAGATCAACGCAGGATCTAGGCAACATAAGGAATTTTAGCCTTTTATGAGTTGTTTTATGAGTTGTTTGACGTTGATTTTACAACAGCAATGGGTTAAACAATGGAAATGGCGGAATTGTTAATTATGTTAACAGTCATATTAATTCAAGTGGGGCCATTCGCCAAACCTGTCTTTGTCAAGCTAACATTTCGTATGTTCGCAGTCAAGTGATCTAACAGGAGTTGCCATTATTCAAATAATTATCAAATAATTCTTTAAGAAATCAATGTACACGTGATAAAGTTAACCAAAACATATTTAATTGTAAAGCGTCAGCCCATCTATGTACAACCAAGCAACGCTTTATAATTTTCTCCCTACGAATTTCCAAATGCCTTAATGTTTGGTGGTCTATGTAGGCGTTGATAAAAAATAAAAAAGGTCGTGTTAGAAATGAAGATTGTGTTGTTAAGGCTGCGGGTATAAAATTATGTATTGATGAACACTTCTTATTAACTTTAAAATGTTTGAGTTACTCTTGATGTTGTTTCTTCATGAAAATTTCCCTTATTACATGTGCAACATTAAACTAAGATTGTTAAAAAATGGTAAATCTTGTTTGAAAATGATGCTTTCAAGAATTAATTGTTTAAGACAACAAATATAATATCATCCAAAGTGAGTGAATTCAGTTCCAATTTTTGAGTTTAGAGTAGAGTTAAACAGTTGAGAATATTACAAATATGTTTTATAAATTTACAACGAATACTCTTTGTAAGCATCTGGTAAGCATGCTGTTTTCTTGTTACATGTAATATGGAAGCCAAACAAAAAAGACAAGTTCATATTAAAATTGCAACTTCAAAGTAAAATGTCGTGTATTCGGTGCTCAACTTCTAGTCGATATATTTTAGTGATGTGCCAAAAGACAGATAGATACCTTTAGGGAAGTTGGATCTGTAAATAGTTTTGAGAAATCTAAGTTGTAAATAATATTAGTTATTATGAAGGAATTGTCCATCTGTGTAGATTGTATATTTCAACCACTGGCTGTGTATATTGTTGAAGTGACGTAATCATATACTGTATAGAGAATGACATACTTATATGATATAAATGTAGTTTTTTCTTAACAATATAGTTAAACGTTCGATGTTCTTCAATTATTCTCATGTAAACACCAATTCTATTGTAACCATTAGCTCTGTGTATTCGAGGTATTACTCTAATATCTTCTTACAAACAAAAGATGCGTCTCTACTTTTTGCCGTCTGCTCTTGAGTATTAAGATAATGATAACTGTAAGTAATATCACTAGATATATTCAAATTTTGTAAAGTGCGTTAAAAGTGAAACTTCAATCTCGTAAAATCTATGATTTATTAAGTTTTTAAATGACTCTTTTAGTAATAAACAACTTCAATTATGTCGTAACAAAGTGCTAATTTAATATGTCCTAATATGTAAAATATAATTAACACCACAATAGTAATAAACTTTTTTAGTATTGTACGAACTCAATAGTTAAAGGTTAAACCTATTCAATTTTTTCACTGTATATTCTGGTTACTGTGTCTTATTTTAGAGATATTTAAAAACAAACTTACTTCTTAGTTGTTCCTACTCAGTTAAAAAGTCAGCTTTATTACGTTTTTTGAACCCTGTGTGTATTTGATGAACAGGTTCCATTTTTTATGTAATAGGATTTATAATCAAGCCCTTCTATCTATGTAATTCTAGCAGAATGAATTAAATTTTATGAAATTTTTTCCCAAGTCACCTATCCCCATTTTTTACTGATAATAAGTGAATGGCTGGATAATTATATGTAAGAAATAATCGTATAAATTGGTTGTGGGCCGTACTCAGTTAATATGTTTTTTTGTCAGTGTTATCAAGGGAAACTCAAGCCAAATTAAACTGTTTTCTCAAAATAACGAGCTATTGATTGGAATTAAATACAAAGGAGCTTACTACTACTGGTCCGTCCACATATAATGATCAAAAACCTAATATAATTTATTGAAATAAATTATATTTTTTGTAAATACATTTATTTAATTTATTCATGATTCCCCTACGTTTTCGAAACGGGATTGATCTAAATGGTTTTTCTAATCAAATGTGTAACTGTATTAATGTAGAGAAATAAATATTAATGTTTGATTAAAATCGTGATATTTTAAAATTAAAAAAAAACTGTTGAAAATGTAATCTGTTGTATTACCTAACTAGGGTAATAATTGACACGGCTAGCTGGGTGGAAAGTTACCATTGATAGGGACCATAACAATATTAACTATTATTTAGATTATAGTGTAAATATTTGATGTAAATTATTTTTACGTAAAATTTATTAGGAGGTTACTATACATATTGGTGGGAATATTAATAAGTTTTTAAACTTAATAAGAGAATAGCATGTCAATGTTTTGTTTTAGTTAAGAACTTTTGTACTTTATTTCACGTTAAAATAAAGCTTTGTTCTCTGTAATGTCAATTGTAATTTAAAACAGTATTTTAGTTGTGTTTATAATGTTCATTGTCCAGAGTTTGTGAGTGTTTAGATTTTAGATTGGAATGTTACCTCGTTTTATAGTTCCACATTTAGTTCTGAATCTTGGTAGGAACTTTAAGGACAAAACGGGTGCTTCATGTGGTTTTAGCGAATTTCCCTATAGGGAAGTAGCTATTACCGTAGGTCTCATGGTAAGACTTAGGTCCGGGACCGATTTACTTTTTCATTTTGATGTCCCCAGAGGCCAAAAACACCATTCGTTAAAATTGTTATATATATATATATATATATATATATATATATATATATATATATATATATATATATAGATTTATATACATATATGTGTCCGTGAACACGATAACTTGAGTAATTTTTATCCGATTTTGATGAAATTTGGTTTGAAGGTGTAAGGCGGGATAAACTTGAATGAGTTCGCGATCCAGCATGATCGGACCATGGGAACAGGATTTTATGGGGGGTTTTATGGGGTAAAAATTGGTTTTTCTCACTTTTGACCCTCAAAACACAAAATTTACAAATTTTCTCTAAACCTTCTTAAAGAGCTTAAAAAAACAAACAATTCAGTATATCAAAGTGTTTTTGTACGGTTATTGGTTACGGAGAAAACTAAAAAAATTTTAAATTAAAAATTCCCATGTTATTCTTAAGGAGAATATTGTAAAATGTTGTAGTTTGCTTGTTTATGGATATCTTTTGATCAAACTTGGCATATATATTCATTTTATACTAAGCAATAATTATTTTACTTAAAACACACACTTTATTAGTTTCCTTGTAGCAGCAAACCTAGGTACTCGTTAAACCTAATGTTATTTAAATAGATCAATTGAAAATCAATTCAGCCAAATGGAAATTCGCTTAGTCGGCAGGTTTGCTGCGGCGGGGGTATTTGTATAATAGTTGTATTGATGTTTGTTTTGTCATTGACGTAATTTTATTTATTCAATTTAAACATGATATAAACAACAGCTCCAAAATATAATTTACTTTTTAAATGATGCATGATGGTTAACCTATAAAAGCACCTAAATATGATTAATATGAAAGAGTTTGACGACTATTAAAAAAATCACACACACTTTGTAATAGTATCCATATAAGTAAACATATTCCAAATAATTTAGGAGTTGATTAAAATATATGGAAATAGGTTATAACAAATCAATGAATATCTTTAAAGTCACCCTATAAAGATATAATTTTGGTCAAAGTGTATTTGTTTTTAAAAACGTAAGTTAATTTGATGTAACAGAAAAGTTTATTGTTTAACTGGTCTAAATAAAAAATCTGTTTAATTGTATCTTTCAAAATATCTCATTAAATACATTCTGTATAAAACATGCCTATGATATATTTACCCTTATTTTTCAAGAGCAAGATGTATTCTTATTAATGTTTCATCATGTGTTATGAACGGCAAATGCTTCGAAGAAAAGTGAACTGACCATTAAGACCAAACTAATGTAAAAGTCAATAAAAGGCTACAGATAAAAGTAGTTGACGTCCTAAAAGGATTGGAAGTACTAATTCCTTTTTTATCATCAAACAATTATAAAATAGTTCGCAATGCAATTTGGACGTTAAAGAAAATAGAAATAGAAGATTATTTCTCAAGAAAAAATGTATTAACATCTTGTTCTTACTATGAAAGCATATGTGCATTCTACTTATTGCATATACTTAAACAAACTTATACTACATACATACTTACTTAATTACGTACATACGTACTTACTTATTGCATTTTACTTTGTGCATTTACTTATTGTTTAAATTATAAGAATAAAAAGACTTTACTATTCCTGTAATGTTATTTTATCTCCGTCAAAACATTTGTTTGCCGCTCGTTATTTTTAAAATATCAAAAACTTGGAGGTTGGAGACACAGAGAATCAAAGGAAAACTTTGGGATTGGCTTTTTGCCGCTCAACATATATCTTGGTCTAGAGACAGTTTGAAGACGTTCTTTTAGGAAAGTTTGATTTTCTTTTACAACTTTTGGAAATAAACTAAAGCAGTTTCATAACGGACAAACGCTATACAACATTTCCTTAACAGTTGTCAAGCTATACTTCACAAAACGTGAAACGTTCTTTCACTGCCACAAAATCATATTACTTTGAAATAATTCCATAAATGACGTTTTCTTGGGGTAAATATTAGGTTTTTAACAACTTGAACAACACCTCCTAAACTTTTTAAAATTTATAATAGTATACTTACTAAGTCCAATTGTTTGTTTTGCTTTTTAGAGATTCAATATGAACTATATTGGGACTCGGGAATTAGTTATATTTGCTTAACACTCAAATATTTATAGTATGCAACATTATTAAAAGCAACATAACATTCCAAAGGCACTAAAGATGCATTTAGGAAATTAAAAAAATATGACAAAAAAGAAAATTGATTGATAAAAAAATTGATATGATAAATAAATAAATAATAAATAAAAATGCCTTTTATTAGCAAGCGCTCCTCAGTACAAACTGTTTTACAGGATGACTCTTGTCAAGTAACTAATCCTAACTTAAAACTAAAGACAAAACAAAAATACTGATCCCCCTATTAACAAGATTTTAGCTATTTACAAAAATACATTTTCTTTAGCCTAGATCTAATAGCTGGGACACCCAGCATCTTCAGGTCACAGGGGAGGTCATTGTACATTTTAGGCCCAAAGAACGAAAAACCTCTCTTTCCTACTTCCAACCTCACCTTCGGGAAATGAAGCTTTTTGTCTTGTCGGGTATTGCGCTGAGACACCTGATCGCGGGTGACCAGTCTTTCAATGGGGTACGCTGGTTCCTCTTCGGCCAGTACCCTGTGTACCAGAGTGCAGGTTTGCCTCCTGCACACAGCAGTTGAGGACAAGAGGCCAGCAGTTCTTTCAAATTGAGAAATATGGTCTCGTTTCCGAAGACCATATACAAATCTCACTGCGGTGTTCTGATGAGGACTTACCTTAGCAATCATAAATGTTGTCGATCCAACGAAATCTATTTCAAACCCGAAGTTCATAATCAGTCGACCGAATTTCAAAAGATTTATCAACCCGAAGGGTTTCGTAGAAGAAAAAACACTGAATAATGTACAAGAAACACGAATTTAGCATATCAATTAGGGTCAAAATCCATGGTTTTAAAATATGTGTTAACCTCACTTTTACTTGGAAACACTGTACTTGAACTGTTTTAAATACTCATTATATTTTCCTATTAGATCAACTTAAGAACATGTTATGTTTATTCACATGGAATAACTAATATTTTATCTACTTAATTGAGGTTTTTTAATTATCATGATCAAATACAACTACAGAGGTCCAATCAACTCATTGGCCGTGTTTTTCATAATAAAAAAGATTAATGTACCTGCTATATAATCTATAAGAGGGAAACACATTGTATACATCAGCAAACTGAAGTATAACCGTACACGCGAATAGACTTGACTGCTATACAGTGCATATTTTTGACTGCTATCTGCTGTAGTGTATTCCAACTTAGGTTGGGTGTTTGTGTATTGTTAGTTGTAATGTGTTAGTTAAGTTTTTTCACCTGAGGACGGGATCAGATTCCAGATACCGAAACGTTGTGTACTGTTTTTACAATCGTGATGGAAAATGTCCGCAATAAACCTTTGAACAACGCAAATTGAATTCATATATGTTTTTATATTATAAGTCTTTATGTATCTAAAGTCAATGGTTTTTGGTATTTAATAAATTTGTATAGTCACATAACTACAAAGGGAATAGCAAGAAAACCATTTTGACAGTAAGCAAATGTTACATCGCAATAACAATAAGATTTCGATATTACATTCCTCTGCATCGTTATGAAGATATTCTTCAAACCATTCCTCATGTATTCTGACACAAAGGTAATCATATTGTTTTGATATTCCAGGTATCCTTAAATCAAGATATAATGAAATTGGTCTTTGCCATTTCTCAGTTTCCCCCTCGAGAAATACGACTAATCTTAGGTGAATAAGTTTAGGAAGATGTGTTTTCTAGGTTATGCATAGATGAAGATATACTACTGATATACAGGGAGCGGCAAAATGATCTGACGGTTTTCTTTGCCGCCCTGTCGAGCGAATGAGTGGCGTAGGGTGGTGGGAATAGGGGCGTTACAAAGCCAACGTTTGGACATTTATAGTAGCCATGGAGCCGTGGGATAGCTGAGAAACATGTATTTGTAGTAGAAGTGTTTTTAAAAGTGGAAATTCCTATGTAGCGGTTCAGTACACGTTTCAATGTGGGTCCAAGGGGAAAAGTCCCAACTCAAAAAAACCATTTTGCTGTGAGTAGGTAACTTCAGAGCTACTAATTCAGCATTGAAAAAAAGCCAACAAGCTGTCCAAGTCCACGGTCAGCCCGGACGCCAGAGAACGCTGAGAGAGTAAGAGAAGCTGTGGAAGTTAGTCCTCAGTAGCCTAAACGTTAAGCTGCAGCTCTGTACTTGTCTGGCCACTCAGTAGAAGAGTATTTCAATACGACCTGCATTTCCATTTATACAAAATGGCAATTGTGCAACAGTTGAAACCCAGGGGTTATGCAAAGTGCATCTCTTTTTCAGAACAAGTAGTGATTGATTTTCATGCGTGTAACAACATTTTCATTATGAGGGACGAATCACACTTTCAACCACAACATACAGTCTTTCTCACTCTCTTTAGTTTCACACCACGTAGTCAGATTTTAGTTTCAATGCTGAACTAGTAGTTCTAAAGTTACCCACCCACAGCAAAATGGTGTTTCGAGTTGGGACTTTACTTCTTTGACCCACATTGAAACGTGTACTGAACAGCTACACAGGAATTTCCACTTTTAAAAAGACTTCTACTACAAAAACATGTTGCTCAGCTGTCCCACGGCTCCGTGGCTACTAAAAATGTCCACAAGTTGGCTTTGTAACGCCCCTATTCCCACCACCCTACGCCACTCATTCGCTCGACAGGGCGGCAAAGAAAACCGTCAGATCATTTTGCCGCTCCCTGTACATACAGATACCTAAATAATAGTAAACTCTATGAATTATATTTAATTCAGACCAAAAACACCGAGAACACAGGTTATGGATTCCTGCAAAACTGAGTAGTTTTATTATTTTGTAGACTAAAGGTAAATATCAATGATGAATATAAGAATACCAAAGAATAAACCTTGTGACCTGAAATTTAATAGTATTTTCAATCCTGCAA